GCGAGCAACAGCTGACAATCATAAAACAATTGCCAACCGGGTCCCCTGATGGCTCAAGTTGGTTGCATCGTTTGCGGGAGAAAGTAGGCTGGGATATTGGAAATTTCGCTCGTTGTCTGTGGTGTCGGCGATCTGTTGCGCATCATACCTAGATTTTGTACTACTCTAGATTGAAACTGATGGCAGAATGGCTCCAGTTGTAAAGTCCATGTACGTTATATCATTTGAATTGCGGACTCACTATACCCAACTGCTACGATCAAAAAGCGTACCGTATCTTACGATAGCCATTCCGGAAAAGCCCAAGTTAACTAAGATACGAATAGATCCTTAAACACTATCGTCAGCTAATGATCTTTTGAACAAGAAAAAGAAAGTATTATATATTTGGCTGGATCATAGAGTGGAAAATACAAGAATGCCAGAAGAAGAAGACAACAGGTGAAGAGACGAAAATGAAGATATCGAGACTCAAAGAACAAAACAAGAAGAAGGAACCCAATCTTAATGCCTTGCCTTGTGATTCCACATGTAGCACAATCTCACAGCGTGCGATGGACCACCCTCATCCAAGCCCCACCCACAAGTTGAGATCAATCAATTGGTTCTGTACTCGTCTTCTGCTCTCAACGTGATTGCAAGCAGAAGCTTTCCCAGCTCACGTACGTGAGAGACATCTAATGTATTCTACGGACCATATTGGTGCATCTTGAGAAATGATGTATCGTCTTTCGGCGGCGGTGATGAGACGTCGGTGCCCTTCAGATACGCTAAATAGTGGTCGTTGTACTCGGCTACGGTCACATAGATCTCGTGTCGATCCTGCGCGATATGGACCCGCCTGATGTTGTCAGAGACGGCGAAAGGTTTGAGCGAGAGAATATACGGGGGTTCAGAGAGTTTACTTCTGGTGACGCCTCTGGGCGGGCTCGTCATCACTCAAAATCCAAGCAATCATTTGAGCACTTTCCTGCATCTGAATAGTCGCCAGTCTGTGACTTCTGTGAACCGGCTTCACTTCAATGATGACACATGGCTTCCCACGGCGATCGTGCAAGTATCCGTCTGTTCATGCTTCGAATTGAGCCTCGATCAAGGAGCTGGGAGAGTGGTACTACGGCACTCCAACGGGTAACACCCTCTAGGAGCGGTTTCTTCTTTCTTTTTCTTCCTTTTTTGGTTTTTGGTAGTGATGGCGTCGTGAGAATCTGGTGTCAATGGATTTCTTCTCGGGGAATTTGGGGTTGGATGGAACTTTCGCAATGCGGCGCAGGCGCCTGCATATTTTCCACGGTTCGACCTAGCTCTATCAAAGCGACCTAATAATTCTTTGACATTCATATTTCTTGTGTCGTCGCTATGTCTCTCCGTGCTTGTCTCCCCCCAAGTGACAAGTACATGAATCATCCCCACCTTGAATAGCCCCACCAGTAACTTCGAAAGCACTCTGCAACCCCCAATCAATCCACAAACAATCCCCCCGAAGCCACCAAATGCACCCCATTGATCCACCGTGACCGCTCCTCGCACAGAAACCCCACCGCCCAGGCAATCTCCTCCGGCTGCGCCATCCTCGGCCCCACAGGCGTCTGGTCGATGATCGGCTGTAGAATCTTCATCTGCTCCTCGCCCGCCGCAGCGAACCCCTCCGTCCTCGTCGGCCCGGGGCTGACGGCGTTGACCGTACAGCCATACTTAGGAGGGAGCTCCTTTGCCCTGCAACGTTCATTAGCCCAATCAATCCCCCTCTCCCCACGACAAGCTTTCTCGGAGACAAGGCGAGTAAAACCTACCAACACCTCGTAAAAGAATCCACCATCCCCTTGGTGCCGGCATAGATGGTCTGATTCGGCGGCGGCGCCCGCGCACTGAGACTGCAGATATTGACGATCCGCCCTTCGCCTCTCGTCAGATGCGCCAGGCTCGCCTGCGTGAGGAGAAAGGTCCCCCGGCCGTTGAGGTTCACCAGCGCGTCCCAGTCGTCGAGGGTCTGCTCCTCCAGCGGCTTGTTGACCGCCACCGCGACGCTGTTCACCACGATGTCCAGCCGGCCCCATTTGGCCACGGTGGCGGAGACCAGTTGGCCCGGACCGGAGGCGGTGGACATGTCGGCTTCGACGGCGATGGCGGGCGACGGCAACGAGGCGATCACGCGGTCGGCCTGAGGTTTCAGGCTGGGGAAGGGGTAGTTGATGACCACGCTGGCGCCCCGCGCGGAGAGCTCGCGGGCAATGGCGGCGCCGATCCCGGAGGAGGAGCCGCTGATGATGGCGACTTTGTCTTTGAGGGTCTGCGGGGTGGTGGTCATTGTGGTTGTGGATGGGGGTTGTTGGCTTAGTTGGTCGCTGAGCTGGGCAAGGCGAGTCGTGGGGGACATTTTTGATAGTCGATGTGGAATGGTCAGCTTGATGAAGGAATGTCTCTGTCAGGAGTGACCAAGCTATACCATAAGGGATGTGTGGATGTGGACATTTTCTAGCAGGGTGACGTCTACGGATCCCGCATGGTAGGGCTTGCTTGTCGGATGTCTTGCCACACCAGCCGGCGGACATGTCAACCTGTGCTTCCGAATGTCTCCACAACCCGATCAGCTCAATTCATTCTTCCTCATTTCTTGTCCTGATGTCTGAGGTGCTACTTACTCCCGAGGAGGTGGGCTCTCCGGGAAGAGACTGGGAGATTGCTTTCCCGGTCGATCGAGCGATCGATTCCTAGCAAGCTTGGCCGGCTAGTGCCGGAAAATTAGTTCTCCAGTATATCTTTCTGCCTAAATAGGTGGCTAAGACCCGCATTCAAGCTGTGTGCTATATTATCTGGGTCCACGCTTTGCAGGGAGAGACATCGGCTTGAGAGCGTTCGTGATAACAAGTGATTTCCTCTGCTGGGATTGTGCTTCAGTCATCTCAAATATACTATCTATGTCATCAATAAAGACGAAGAAGGAGCGGAATGTCGGGGTGCTCGTTCAGACGGTGCCTCAATACATCACCAACTGCCTGTTCATCCTGCCAAGGCTAAAACCTGGGGAAGATGCCGCTTAGTCATAGCATCTTATGATCCAATTGGGCCATCGGCGCTATGGCCATGATCTTATCCCACTAGCGCGGCTGCTAAGATTTTAGCTCTGCCCAAGCATTCAAAACATTGTAGGGAGTAGTATTCGGAGTCCGGTTCACGATTTATTCATCTATCCAGAAAACAACAGTCTAGAACCAAGGCATCCTACAACTTAACCTCACTCTCAGTGACCAACCCTCGTACCCCCGACGCATCCCCCTTATCGAGATACCCACAAATCCGCCCCTCGGGATCAAACCGCCGTCTCAACCCCATCAACCTGCGCGCATTGTCATCTGCCCAGAATTTCGTCTTCCTCGCCTGGAAATCCGAGTCCCCCAGGTACGCCCCCACCGCATGTGGCGCCACCTTCTGCATGACATCGGCCACCCACCCCTGGCAGCGCGCATCATCTCGCGCCTCCTCCCACACCGTATACAGCGCGAAGTAGTGATCGCTCTGCATACTCAATGCCATATCCGGCAGCTTGCGCCGACTGCAGGGGTACATGGCGTACCAGAGGGCGAAGGCCTTGCGGTGGGGGAGGGTGGTGAACGCCTCCTCCAGCACGGCGGGGACATCCGCCTCGTTCCGGATGTACGCGTTCTCGGCGCAGTACCGGTGGCCCTCCGGATTGGCTTTGGCTTGGTTCTCGTACTGCTTCTCCAGGCTGTCGGTCTCGCAGAACCATTCGACGATGGCCCCGGCGGGGCGGGAGTCGTGCAACGCGCGGAGGGCGGCTTCCGCGGCCGCAGGATCGTGCTTCATCGTCACGAAGAGGACGAACAGGCACAGCTCGTCCATTCCCTCGGGGTACTGCGCGACGACGGCGATCTCGGTGTCTTCATCGGAGGTCGGGGTGGCCTCCAGGACCCAGCTGAAAGCTTCATGGTACAAACGGATCGGGTAGATGTAGCCGGACGAGCGGAAGCCGTCGCGCGGGTAGGGGATGAGTTCGAGGTGATACTTTGAGACTACCCCGGGAAAGCCTATGAGGTGATTTTGTTAGGAGATCGGATTGGGGGGGAGAAGTGTTGGAATGTGCGTCGCGTACCCGGACCGGCACCGCGGGCAGCCCAATACAGCTCCCGGTTCTGGGTGGCGTTGCAATGTAGAACATCGCCCTGTGCGGTGACCACATCGACAGCCTGGACGCGCTCGCACGCCCAGCCCCAATTCTAGTAGTCAGTGTCAGTCGGAACGTGGCTACACCGCAACTAGTGAAAGGAGCTCGTACCCGACAGTTCCACCCCATCCCGCCCTGGAGCAGAAATCCCCCCAGCCCAACATCCGGACAATGACCCCCAGGAAACATCAGATTGTGCTCCTTGATGAGGACGCCATTCAGCTCCCGTCCCGTCATGCTGGGTGTGGCTCTCGCCGTGCGAGTGGTGGGATCGACGTCCAGCTGCTTGTAATTGCCGAGGTCGAGGAGAATCGAATTGTCACGCACGCTCCAGGCGGCCCACGAATGGCCCCCGGAGCGCACGGCAAGCCGACAGTTCTTTGTTTTGGCAAGCTTGACGGCTGCGATGATGTCTTCCTGGCAGGTGGCTTTGACAACGGCCAGGGGAAAGCGGTCGGGACGTCGGTGGTTGAAGACTCGGCCCACGCGGGCCTCCTCGTATTCGGCGGGGGGCGCGGAGTCGCGCCAGACTATCTGCATCGTGTCGGAGGTAACAATTGATAATGAATTCAGGAAGAGGAAGAGATAGAAGGTGTGAAGTTAATTCAGCTGTTGGAAAATGATTGGGGCTGGAGCCGACTAATTATATGCAGACTAGCTGCGGCCGACAGACAGTCGGCAAATGGCTTAGGGCTCGGGCTCAGGCTTTGTTTGTGGCGGCAGCAATCGGGGACTGGCTGTGGACCACTTGCCTTACTTTGCCCCTTACCCTTTACCCCGCTCTTTCAACCTGAGACTCGTAAGCATCTACTCCGTACCATACTCTACATTTCGCAGATCTGGGGAAGACGACCCTCGTTCCCGAGTGTGGGGGAAAAGGAGATCCAAGGTCGTTGACGCTGTGACTTCCTTCGACTATTGTACTGTAGGACACTCAACCCCTTTGCGCCGGGTGCCCACCGCCACAGTGATTCTGAATAGGGCTGGGACCGGTGTATGCTGGAGTGACCATGACAGTCACCACCTCTTCACTTGCCGTGCCTCTCTTATCTAAAGGCCGTTTCCTGCACATCGTTGCTTTTGTCTATATAAGGCAGGTCCAGCTCCTCTTCCCGAGCACAGCTGTCCAGGCCTCCCCCCTTAGCCGCCCAGCATGGACTCGAAGCCCACCGAAACCCACCATGAGACCGTCCCAAAGGACACCTTGGGGACTCTACGTCTCCGCCATCATGAGACAAACGAGATCCTCTTGGTCCCTACACCTTCGGGGGATCCTAATGACCCACTCAACTGGTAGCCCTATCCCCTTATCGTCCTGTCTCCAGGCAGTCTTCCTTCCGGTCGTACTAATCCCAATGTGCACCCAGGTCCTCTGCGTTCCGATACTATATCGCCATCCTCGTCTGCCTGGCTGTCTTCTTCTGCAATTTCCTGTCTGCAGGTCCGACTGTGGCTATCGTGGAGATCACCGTGGACTTCCTGGGACCCCAGGGCCCCGATTTCAGCGCCCATATCTCCAAGGTGGCCTACTTCTTCAGCACCACCGCTCTCTGTCAGGGGATTGGGATGCTCTTCTGGATGCCGTTCATCGTCAAGTACGGTCGCCGGCCCATCTATGTCATTTCCTTTGTCCTGTACGTTGTTACTGGGTTCTGGACCGGGTTTGCGAAGACGTACGGGGTCGAGCTGGCCGGGCGGATCGTCATGGGGTTTGCAGCCGGGGCCGGGGAGTGTCTGGGCCCGCTGACGATTGCCGATATCTTCTTCCTACATGAGCGAGGCACGGTAATGGCCCTGTATACTGCCGCTCTCTCCATGGGGGTGGCCGGCGGGATCATCATTGATGGGCTCATCACCATCACCCTGAGCTGGCGGTACATCTACTACGTGGCGACCGCGTTGATTGGAGGCGTCACTCTGCTGGTTATCTTCACCTTCCCCGAGACCACCTTTGACCGCCAAAAGGCCTTGCTAGCGGAGCAATCGAACCCCCCAACCCCCCACACCCTGGAATCCGCTACCCCCAACCCTACTACCCGCCAGAAGAAACAGCCCTACCTCCGCTCCCTCCGCCTCTTCACAGGCACCTACACCACCGAGTCCCTCCTGCAGATCTTCCTCCGCCCCATTGCCCTCATCGTCCTCCCGCCAGTGCTCTGGACCTCGCTCGTCTTCGCCGTAACCATCGGCTTCCTCGTCGCCATCACCTCCAACTTCGCGACCGCCTACGCCGCGGCCTACGACTTCACGACCTGGCAGATCGGCCTCTGCTTTGTATCCGGGATGGTCGGCTCGGCCATCGGCATCGCCTTCGGCGGCCACCTGTCCGACTGGACGGCCGACTGGTTCACGCGCCGCAACGGGGGCATCCGGCATCCGGAGATGCGCCTCCCGTCGGTCGTCATCGGCGGGGCGTGCGCCCCCGTGGCCTTGATCCTGTACGGGGTGGGCATCAACGACCGGCTGCATTGGATGGTGCCGACGCTGGGACTGGGGTTGTTGAACTTCGCGATCGTGCAGGCCACCAACGCCACGATGGTGTACGTGATTGACAGTTATCGGCCGGCGGTGGGGGAGGTCACGGTTTCGATCTTGGCATTTAAGGGTATGTCTTGCTTTCTGTTTTGTGTTTGGTTCAGTTGGGTCTGGGTGTTTTGGGCATTTTACGAGGACAAAGTCAACCTGACATGACTGATAGCGGCGTTCGGGTTCCTCCTCTCCTTCTACACGAATCCCTGGATCGACCAGAGTGGGTATTCCCTGGCGTTCGGCGAGATGGCGATCATCGCCGGGGTGGTGGTGGTGTTCTTCGTGCCGTTCTATTTCTGGGGCCGACCGTTGCGGCATCGGACGTGGCAGTGGCGGGTGATGCAGAAGTATGCCCATTGGAGTGAGGATCGGGAGGTGGGCGAGTAGTCTGGCTGCTCTCAGCAAACAAGGTTCATGTTGGAGTGTGTGAAGTGGAAAGGAGCAGATCTGCAGGGCTGCTCATATTTTGATTGTATTGTGTTACTGACGGCTTGACAGCGGGAGTATCCGGGAGAACAGCAAAAAGTTGGAGCTGCGGGGAATCGAACCCCGGACCTCTCCCATGCTAAGGGAATATTATACCACTAAACCACAGCCCCTGTTGATGTGAGAGGGATGCTTTTTTGCTTCTATGGCCTTGGATTATGTGAGTCAGCATAAATCAAATCAATTTAGTGAGCAACCTTGTGACAACACAATCAACACATATGTCTCCCCTAGCGTCTTGTCAGATCATGACTCTACAAATATGTTCCAAGACTATCCTTATCTTCCCTTGTATCTCAGTTTGTAACTTGCGTCGTCTTTCACTAGCAATGTACAGGTCAATGTGAATTTAGACCCGCCATATATATTCTGCTGCAAAGTAACCAATTCCCTGTCACCCGTCACAATCTATCCTCATTATACCCCCCTCCAAGCAAACGTACTCATATACCACCCAAACCCTGAATAATAACCCGTCCAGCAACCCGATTCCGCATCGCCCACCCCCTCGCCTCCTCCTCAATCTTGTTCACCCCCTGCACACCTCCCACAGGCAGAAAAAGATACCCCTCCTCATCCAACGCAACCAGCGCCTCTTTCACCCAGACGCGACACGTCATCGCCTCTCAGAAATTGGTGGAATACCCCGCCGAAACCTGGGCGAGCCGCTCCGCGACCGCAGCATGCAACGCGGGCTCTATCTCGCCTAGCTCCAGCGCCACCAGAAGCCGGCCGCCGTGCGTGATATCCTCTGTGGTTTGGGAGTCGAATGTCCAGAGGTCCGAGCCCGGGGCGTTGATGAGGTGGAAGGTCTGGCCGTGCGGAGGGGAGGTGGTGAGGTAGAGGGTCCAGTGGAAGGTGGAGGGGGAGCCGCGGTCGAGGAGGTGGAGGGAGAGGGTGTTGGGTTTGTGGGGTGGGGGGAGGGCCATGATCTTGGTTTCAGCCGATCAGACGGAGTATGTGAGCTTGGATGGTGTAGGTGGTGTTGATTAATACATGAATGTTAGGTACAGTAGCATAAAATTGGGGTTGTGGAGAGATCGATCATATCTTATCATGTGGGGGATGCTACAAAAGTAAGCGCCCGGGCGGTTACTTGGGTTGCATTGACTAGTAAGTTATCCCCCCCCCCTTTCCTTCCCGCCTCCTAGAATTTTACCTCGATCTTTTAAACGTACTGTACCACAACCACGTAGTCTCTGTTCTATCGAATCGGGCTCTCAGTACGCCCCGATCCCCAGAAGGTACACATGCGATGGACACAAAGACGAATCTTGTCAATTCAACCCTATCCTTGATATCATCTGCTGATCTCACCCCAACAGAACACTGGCTGCTGAGGAGGTTCGTCTGTCACGCAGTCGATCCCCAATACGCGGCGCAGTATGTCGCCAGGAGAATCGAAGCCCATGCTCCTAACGACGTCGGAGGCGTCTTGCGAGATATGAAAAGCGAGTGGAAACAATTGGTCCAGAAATGCAAGCGACCAGACAGACCCCTTGCAATTGCAGCTAGCGATTGACTAATACCATTATCATTGCATTAGTCTCGCAGCGAGTTGATGTACCGCTAGGTCTCGAAGGCCTGGTCCGACGCCGGGATAGCGATCAATGCTGTCTCGGTGGTTCTATGGTTGATCCAAGCGCTAGAGGCGTTTCGCGTGCGGAACCTGCTTGGATCATTCCACCTAACATCTTTCACGATGGCCAACTAGTCCCCGAAGTAAGCAGCCTTGTCGGAAGAGAGAACTGCCTGTTGTTAACGTCGGGTGGAACCTGCCTTTTAGACCCAGGGATCACTTTGTCCACTCTTGGATGCCTATTTAACGCCCGCCAAAGTATCCCAACTACAAACGAAGCTCTCCCATATGAGCCACGAAGACTGAACGGGATAGTCGACTGGGAATATGCCGGATACTACCCCGAGTATTGGGAGTTCACCAAAGCCATGTACGGGATCATCAACCATCCGGAGCTGGAGAAGATCCATTGGGACGCATTCGGGAGATGTGTACAAAGACGAGCTGGAGGTCGAAAGACTATGGCACGAATCTCCGTTTGGTCTGTAACTTAGTGCACTCCTCTATCGGACATATGCTGTCAAGTCTAGAATAACGATTTCCCGGGGGAGAACCCCCGGACCCCCCTTCTTTTTCAACTTCCTGGACAAACTCAACCCTAAGTTCTATAGTAAAATGTTTCCGGGGGAGAACCCCCGGACCCCCCTTTTCTTTCAGCTTCCTGGTAAAACGCATCCAACATCCTAATACCGCTCATCGACCACCTCCCTCAACTTGCCACTCGCCTCGATAAACACCAACTCCTCAAACCGCACCCACTCCAGCTGCACCGGCGCCACATGGCCGGCCTCGCGGTTCTTCGACCAACTCGAACTCACCTTTGCCACCGCCTCCTCCAGCCTCTCCGCCAGACTCTCCCCGAGCCCATCCTCCGGCCTCTCCGCCGCAACCCTAAACACCACGACATTCCTCCCCTTCTCCCTGCGCAACACCGTCTGAAAACTATCCGCCACGCCCTCCCCAAGAACCCCACTCACCACCCGCCGCAGCACCGCGCGATCCAACAGCGCCGTGCCGACCTTAACCCCGACATCACTCCGTCCACGCAGGCGGAACAGCCCGCGCTCGAAATCCACCCACTCGCCCACATCCCCAATCGGATACCGGATGGTAGGCTGCAGCCGCTTAAGCAGATTCGTGACGACCAGCGTGCCCCTGACCCCATTCTCCCGAACCGGGTGCCCATCATCCCCAACAACCTCCAGCACGACCGCCTCCTCCACCACACGATACACCGGATCCACATCCCCCACCCCCCCCTCATTGCACTCCGGCACCGGCACCCCCACAACCTTACATTCAACACTCGCATACGCCATGGGCCGCACCACCGCCCCCGGGAAAGCAGCCTTATACAACGCGCGCAGATCACCATAGAACGGCTCCCCGGTGTACAGCACCAGCCTTACACTCGCCAACGCCCTACCCCGTGCCCGCAAGAACGTCGCCAGCTTCGTCGCGATAAACACATTGCAGATCACCACCGTCGCCGCGAACTCGTTGATATCCTTCTCGATATTCTCGGGCGCCTCCTTCCCGCTGATCGGCAGGTTCACGACCGGCACCGCGCTGTTCATCACCGTGTACCCGTACGTCATGAACCCGGAGTACAGGCCGCCCTGCGAGGAGAGGTTGGCGATGCGGTCGCCGGGCTGGATGGCGCAGCTGGAGGGGAAGAGCGCCCCGGCGATGCGGGCGGTGGCGTGGAACTCGGCCCGCGTCATGTACACCGTCTTCGGGGTGGAGGTCGAGCCGCCGCTGCGCATCACCAGGGCGTCGGTGAGCGGGGCGGTCAGGATGGAGGCCGCGGAGGTGCTGGACGTGGTCCAGTAGGTGGTTGGGTCGGTGAGAGGGAGGGTGGCGAGGGTGGGGATTGCGGGGGTCGCGGGCAGCGAGGCGTAGAGGGTGCGGTAGTAGGGGGAGTGCGTGCGGACGTGGGTGAGGAGGTCCTGGAGGTGAGGGGGCAGGGTGGGGGTGGTTTTGGTCATTTTTGGTTGACGGGGAGGGTATCAGTAGGGTTGAGGATGGAGTTTGGGAGTTTTCTTGATGGAAAAGAGGTGGTGTGATGTGTGGTGTTGGATTTGCTGAGTTCGGTGGATGTTATATAGGTCACAATGAGCGGAGCGAGATGCACATACAGTACTGTAGGTACATGTTGTACAATTGGGATAGACGTAGGGGAAACTTTACCAAGGCATAATACAGCACCTCCAATGCCGCTGGCATGGCGCAATACAACCCCCTCATTGGAGGAAATCTTCTCCGTCGTGAGGATCACAATGCTCAGCCCATTGCTGAGACAAATGGTAACATATGGTGACATGGAGAAAGGATTCTCTCGACCCTGCATGATGACCATAACTGCAATTCCCCCCACATGGCGTCAGGTCCCGTACTTTGAGCGGCTGTCCGAGCGGACTCCGAGTCTGCACCCTGGCCACCCAACTCCGTGTACGATTGGCACAGTTAGCGGGCCTTAGTGCTTATGTAGACTATAAGGTACTCTAAGCATTGATATACCCGCTCTGAAGACATGCGGAAACAGTCTAGCGTGAAGAATCAGGGAAATGGCGAGGGTGTCCACTTCTCGGCCCCCTAACGGCATTCCCGACGCCAGCCCGTGCCTGGACCGCGTCAGGATCTTAGCGTGGCGCACTGCTAACTTACCGGTACTCCACCGGGACCCTGAAATTGCAGCACGGACACCCTGCCAGGTGTGCGGAGGCTGAAAGCGCACCGCGGACATACTGCTGAAGATCACGTCCGAGCGTGAATTGCACAACATTCCTGCAAAATGATCTCAGATCTCCAGGTCTTCTACTGCTAGTTATGCACAGATTGATAAGAATCGTCATCCATGATGCGAAAGTCGGAGCTCGTATACGCAACGGCAAGGGGCGTGCATGCATGCAGGGGCTATATTACTCTGCGCCAAGATTAAGACACCTCATAGGCTCACGCAGACAAGCTAATCCTCCGTAAGCTTGACATTGCTTGGTAGCTCTGCCAAGTGCGGCGCCAACCTTGGTCGTGACGTCCAAAGTACCCCCACCGTTGCGCCGGCGGTTCCAGCCGCTCTCGTCAGTACTTCATGCACGGATTGAGATTATCAATCATAAGATGACTGCAGACGTAGCACGCATCGTTATTTACCGCATCGGGGCCGCGCTCCACTCGTTTTTGACAGCTTGGTGAAACATGGCCACGAAAGTCGCCGCGCGGGATATGTCTGAGCCTGTCGATCAACGCTTCCGAGGGTTTCCCGAGGATATGCGGTCTCGGAGTGAGCCACTAATTGGGTGCTAGGGGAGGAGCACGCCATCTTCTGCAATACCCTACTGGGCGGAAACGTATCCATCTGGTTGCAGGAGGGTCGCAATGATCAACCTCGTCGGTTGTCCTCCGGTCGACTCACCGGTGGCTAGAACATCACGGGCCCGGACACTAGCCATCGCAGGATTCTCGCACGTCAATCCGTTTGTCAATGGAATTGTCAATCGATATCGCAAAGCCAGAGAGGATCAATGTGCAGCGCTGGATGGATGATGAGGGGGTTTCTTGTTCGGGATTTGGAGTGAGGCTCAAACGAAAGAAGAGAATAGTATAAGAAGGGGTGGGAATTCGAAGGCAAGGACCCCAAGATACGAAAAGCATCCTTCATCATCTCCGAGCTTTCCTCTCAGCAAAATGTCTTCCATTGTGTCATCTTTCCGCGAGGGAGCAGTTCAGCCCCCATCCACCTACAGAGACCCCCGCGAGGAAACATGGGAGGACCAGACTTCTTTCTTTGCCCGAGATCCCTTATCCCCAAATCAGCAAACAGCCTGGGACTCTCCTGGCCAGGCCGCTTACGACTTCCGCTCCGATTATGTTACTTCTCCCAACATCGCCATGCTGGCGTCGATCATCAACACAAGCCTGCTAGACGATGTCATGAAGGAGGACCCTACCACCAACTCTTTCCAGGAGTTCATAGCCCAACTGACGGGTCATGAAGACTCACTCCTGGTCATGTCTGGAACCATGGGCAACCAGGTGGCGCTTCGAACCGCCCTGCTGGCCCCACCCTATAGCATTCTCGCCGACAGTCGCAGCCACATCATCGGCATGGAGGCCGGTGGCCCGTCGACGCTGTGCGGAGCCCTCATGCAAGGCGTCACTCCGTCCAACGGACATCACCTCACCCTCGAGGACGTGAAGCGGCACGTCACGCTCCGTGAGGATGTGTACGACTGCCCCACGCGAATCATCAGTCTGGAAAATACGCTCTCCGGAACCATCATGCCTCTGGAGGACGTGCGTGCAATATCAACCTGGGCCCGGAGTCAGGACCCGCCCATCCACATGCACCTCGACGGGGCGCGGTTGTGGGAGGCGGTGGCGGCCGGCGCCGGCACCCTCAAGGAGTACGCTACCTGTTTCGACAGCGCGCAGCTGTGCTTCACCAAGGGTCTGGGCGCCCCCATTGGATCAATAGTCATCGGCAACAAGGCCTTCATCAAGCGGGCCCGCTGGATGCGCAAGTTGCTGGGTGGAGGCATCCGCGCGGCCGGCATTGTGTGCGCCCCGGCCCGGGTGGCGGTGGAGCAGATCTTCCTGGGCGGACGCCTGCGTGCGAACCAAGAAACGGCAAAGAGACTCTCCAAGCTGTGGGTGAGTCTAGGCGGGAAGCTTCAGCATCCGACCGAAACCAACATGATATGGTTGGATTTGGAGGCCGCAGGAATTGACAAGGAGCATTTTGCGGATCTGGCTGAGAATGCAGGCGTTAAGACCATGCGGGGTCGTTTGCAGGGCCGGCTGATCATTCATTACCAAATCTGTGATCGTGCCTTGGAGGCCTTGGCGAATCTTTTCGCGGAGATTCTGAAGGCAAAGCGGGATTATCGGCAGAAGTGAGGGGCGAGAAAAAGAAAGCTGCCCGTGTGCATTGTGGTCCATTGGCCAGTTTTCGTACTGTCTGTAACGTTGAATTAGGTCTTTCAGTTTAGTGTTCGGAGGCTCAAAACATCCTTAACTCATCAGTCATGCCTATGTCGAAATTGATTGCCCAGTCTGTGAAATTGAAGTTCTCAAGATCAATCAATGAGCTCATGTCCATTTCACCCATCGCGATAGGGACTGTGCTGTCGATTTGTGGGGGCGTCGGAACTGGCTCTGGGACTGAGTCAGGGGCTGGGGTCTTTATAGAACTGACTACTGTAAAACTGTCTAAAATCCCGTCGAGCTTGCGCGAAATAGCCCTCGATGCTTTGAGGCAGAATACGTAGTTGGTCTCGCTGGGGTTGGATACGCTCTCCAGTTGAGACACCAGAACGGAAAGGTGGCGAATGAGATTGGAGGTCTTGATGCCTTCCGGCAGCCTTGTCCCTGCTGATGCATCTTGCATCACGTTCTCCAGGGCGGCGGATAGAATTGCAGCACATGGCAAACCATAAGAGAGAACCTAGTACCGGTCAATGGAGAGGTCTACTATTGCAGTGCAATACCAGTCAGGGGAGCATACAATCCCAGGCAGATCGCGCGGCGAGAAAGAGGTTCTCCCGCGACTATTCGTCATCTGAATCACGGTCTCAAGCATACTGGCTGAGACCTCAAGCAGTTCTGGCTGAGGGGTCGTTAGACCTTCTGCATTTCCAAGGAGTCTGTAAATCTGAAAGTGAATGTGCAGATAAGACAGGTAGATCTTTGCATGCATGTGGCAAAGTTCTGGAGGGAGGTTCGATGTCCAGCAGTCCTGCCTGTACTGGAGGTGTGGCGGTAGCCGATTCCATGCCTGCGTACACCGATCGGATAACTCTCTGTGGATAATGAGCGAGTGGCTTCAACAAAAGTCAGGCCATTACATACCTAAGCTTCACAGAATCAGCGGCATGCGTGACTCGAAACTGAAATTCAACGGTCTCCTCACGCAACTCTGCGAGTATATAGCGTATTCGAGCCCACGTAGCAACTCGATGCTTTCCGTCGGTATTCCAGCCATCCGGTGTCAGGTTGTGCTTTGCATGCTCTATCACAGCTGACGACGCGAAAAGTTCTTCGTCAGATAGGTCTAATGGAAGGCTGCAGTCTGCATGTCGAGCAGTTATGCGCGGCGGCCGCATGAATACCGATGCAAATACTTTGTCCAGGTAATATGCTCTAGCAAAGGTTCTTCGTCGACATTCCGCAAGGAAGAATGGCGTCGTGGCGTGGGTTGCTTCTCGATTCAGGCCTAAGGCTAGGATGTCTGTGGCGAGATCGCCCAAGCGTCTCCATACACCTAAGCCTACACCAATGTTAAATGTGCCCGCTGAGCCCGTGGCAGTTTAACTTACTTGCATCGCCTTCGAAGATGGTGGTTAACTGTAAGTTCTCGTGCGCAAGCCATGTGATTAGATCAGTTGTTTGCGGTGTAAGCTCACGGGCCAGTCGCAGGCTCAAGTTGCCGTACCAGCCCATATCGCGAACGAAGGCATTGTCACGGTCTTCGTCGTGTCCGTCCCCTACAGCAAACATAGTTGCGCGTGCGGCCATCGTATACAGGAGGCCAAGAGTTTCTATGCGTAGATTGGGCCCACAGAACAAGGCACAGAACGCCGGCAAATCCAAGTCGCGGGTAATGACCACTTCCAGTGAGGAGGCCCGTAGAATGTCTTCGGCTAATTTTGATGCGCAGTGAATGTCAAGCTCTGCATCTAGGCTGTCCTGATTATAGCCCAAAGCTGCGAGACCGGCTCGAATGGAGGCGATGAGCTGCAAGAGCAGCGGCTGAGGGACCAGCGCGACTAGGCTGAACGAGTAATATTCATGCAACTGTTTTTCTATGACGGGCAAGAGCTTCAGCTGGGCGACAATGCGTTGGATGGCCACCAAGTGCTCGTCGTGGGCCTTGAGATTGTAGTTGTGGCGGCCCGGGGGGAGGGCGAGCGATGACGAGTCATTGGGATCGGCGGACATGAACGGCCAAGTGTGGAACTTGGGGGTCTCGGCCAAGGGACTCTCGACCGGATGCTGCGGGGGTGGGCCCGTCTGGGCGACACGGAGTGAGCCCGGTGGCGTGGACAAAGAGTGTCTCTGCGAAGTCCGATGCTTGGTCAGAGGGGCAGGATGATACCAGCATTGTGGGTGGAGCCCACGGCGTTGGCAGGATGCACAGGTGGGTTTGCCGTGATCACACCGGATCTTGCTCTTGCGACATGGCTCGCACGAGGCCAGCGAGCGATTACGCCGGCGACTCAGGGTAGACATGACCAGACACTCCGAAATGGATGGCTTGTTGGCACTTCGGCCATATGGAGGGAGGTTGTGGGAGGAAGAGAAGAAGAATTGAGGGGATCGCGACAAACGGAGTCGATGGTACAAGTTGGTCACGTGACAGTAATCTACCATTCGCGCACCACCAGGAAATCACTGCCCAAGCCTGGCAAATGTTGAAAGATAGTCGAGATAGTAGAGATAGCAGGAAGAACGTAAAAAAAAAAAAACCAGTTCTTCTCCACCCACACTTTCTCTAAAGGTCTGTGATGGATCGGACTTGAATGAATTACAAGGTGTGTATCGGACTTGTATCGGAGTACTCGGGCTCACCAGCATTTCCACTACTGACTTGGCAGTTTAGTGCTTTGATGCATATTGCATATTAGTTCACATCCACCATCTCGACATTTTCAATCTGATATTTTAATCCTCTAGACTAGGCACGGGTAATTTATTTCATGCCAGCCCCGGTTGAGTCTAAGGGGAACATAGGGAGATTCTATCAGCCATGAACATCAGAAAAGTACTGCAGCGGTTGAACACCATCAAGGAACACGAAGATGCGAATCCAACACCATCCACAGACTCATCACTGCCAGAGAAGTCATCGGAAAAGGTGACAAAAGAAGGTGACCTAGAGAATGGCACCGTCGAGTCCGACAGAGTTCTAGTGAGTCTTCTTCCCACCTATGTCGACTGCGCCGAACACCTCCTCACCATGACACCCACCAGGTAACCTGGGAGGGCGAGGACGACCCCGAAAACCCCAAGAACTGGAGTGCGATGCGCAAATGGAAGGCGATCTTTGCCATGAGCTCATTCGTCTTCATGAGTCCCCTGTCGTCGACCATTGTCGCTCCGGCACTGCCGGCCATTGCATCCGACCTGAACATCACCCAGCCGGCGGTCGAGCAGATGGTGCTCTCCATCTTCCTCCTGGGCTTTGCGTGCGGCCCCCTCGTCGCCAGTCCGCTGTCCGAGATCTACGGTCGGGTGCGGGTGGTCCAGTCCTGGAACTTCATGTACATTGTCTTCAACGCCGCGTGCGGCGGCGCGCGCACCAAGGAAGCCATCATCGTCCTGCGCTTTGTCGCCGGCCTCTGCGGAAGCGCCACCCTCGGGGTATGTGACTGAAACCCAGCGCTCCTCAGCAGCTGTCACTGACAGTCTCCCAGATCGGCGGCGGTACGCTCAGCGACCTCTTCCACGCGAAAGACCGCGGCAAAGCCGTGGCGATCTACAGCTGGTCGCCGATCCTGGCGCCCCTGGTCGGGGCCGTCATCGGCGGCTTCATCTCGCAGAACACCGGCTGGCAGTGGACCTTCTACACCTCCTCGCTGCTCAGCGTGGCCATCCAACTGTCCGGCCTGTTCTTCCTGGAAGAAACCTACCCGCCACTCCTCCTCCGACGCAAGAAAGCCCAACTGACCAAAACCACCGGCGCAACCAACCTATATACAGACTACGACTACCTCGACGCCGGCCGCCTGAAGAAGCTGTCGACGAACCTGATCCGGCCGTTCCGGCTGCTGGCCACGCAGCCCATCATCCAGGTGCTGGCGCTGTACAACGCCTACCTGTACGGGAACATCTACATCCTGTACGCGGACTTTGTGGACCTGTGGACGGAGGTGTACGGCGAGCGCACGGAGATCGCGGGGCTGAACTACATCTCGATCGCGGTGGGGTCGGCGCTGGCGGCCGAGTGCTGCACGCTGGTCAACGACCGCATCTACCGCACCCTCGCCCGGCGCAACGGGGGCAAGGGCCTGCCCGAGTTCCGCATCCCCATCATGCTCCCCGCCACCCTGTTCCTCAGCGCCGGCATGTTCTGGTACGGCTGGTCCGCCGAGAAGCGGCTGCACTGGATCATGCCGAACATCGGCACCTCGATCTTTGTCGCCGGCGCGTTGGCCTGCACCATCTCCGTGAATGCGTATGTGATCGATACCTATGGCCGGTATGCCGCCAGTGGGCTGGCGGCCGTGTCGACGATTCGCTGTATTGCGGGCTTCACCTTTCCGATGTTCGCTCCCTATATGTGAGTTCTTCCGGGCAAAGTCCTTTGGTATCGAGCTAGGGTTGATGCTTTCCACAGGTACTCGACGTTGGGGTATGGGTGGGCGGGGAGTCTGCTGGGCTTCATCGGGTTGGGGATTGGGCTTCCGGCGGCGATGCTGTTGGGATTGTATGGGCAGTACTTGCGGGACAGAAGTCCCTATGCTACCAAGGCCCATTAGAACTTGGTTATGGGTTCCTTGAGGTGACTAATGAGCTAATGATGGGATGGGGCTGCTAAAAGTATCGTGGATGGCCAGTACATAGACATCGTTGGCAAAAGTAGATGTTACGTTGAAATGACAGACTGCAGTACGAGAAATGGGGATAATGCTCATCCTTTTCGGTTGTAATTGTCTCGATAATAATTTAGGGAAGATTGACGGTGAACTTGAAATTAACGGCACTCGCTGCCATGAATGATGGACTTTGTGCTGTTACAGGTGATGCTGAAGTGCTCTCTCTACCTCTCTACAGTACAGCGTAAGTGACTGAGACCAAATAGAGATCCGCCTTCCAGAACAGTAGAGCATAATCTTCGAGTATCTTGGGATAAATCAACAAGTAAAAGATCATGACAATTTCACAAAACAACGACAATCTACCTAGCCAACACGATATCATCAATCGGTCCCAGCCACGAACTCACAGAACGCATAAGCAAAACAACAGGTCGCATCTGCCGATAATACCCACGATAGTCTTCACAGTCGACGGCGCTTGCGCGAGCGATAACCATGCCCATTATCATCATCGTCATCGACGTCAGCCGGGCGAGAGACCTGGTTCGCAGACTGGGGCTCGCCATGTTGAGCAGCAGCAAGCTGGGCCCTCTCATACTGGCGTCTCGACTCGACTAGCCCCAGATCATTGATGATCAGGCCGAAGTCGTCGAGATCCCGCGTCGTGACCGGCGCCGGGTTTTTGCCGCATTCACTCGCGGTCCAGGCATCACCCGGCATGACTTTCCGAGGGCGACGCCTCCCTAGCTTCATTTGACGAGAGAGCACGGCGCGATTCAGGCGAATGACGCACTCCTCGTACGAATATCCATGCTCAAAGACCTTCTTGAGGCCGTTGATCCAACACCGGGTGAAATAGGCATACATGTGCAGGAGGTGCCGGCCCCGCTCGCCCCAGTCGCCGAGCAGCTCCTCGGCCTCTTGCACGATCTCCTCCTGCTGTTCCATATTCCGGCGGGCTTCCAGGAGAGTCTTCCACTCCGCTTGATAGGCCGCCGTGGCGCGGAAGGCATCGAAGTCGGGGCGCACGGTCTCGAGATAGTCCAAGAACTTGCTGAGGACATGCTCGTGATGCAGGTCTTTGCCCTCCCGCTTCGAGGGCATGCTTCTTGCCACGAGATCGACGAGCTCCGCATAGCTCTCGGGCGATCGCTCGAGCCGGGCGTCTTCCAGACACTCCACCACGGACGGGATGTCGCTGTAGCTTTCGTTCTCGAGCCACAACCCTTGTATCTGGGGGGATCGTTGGTCGGTCAGGGCCAGGATGTGGTCTATCCTGTCTCTGATCTCGGATTCTTGCTTCTTGATTCTCATTTTGATGTCGATCTTGGCTTTGGTTCGGTTTTTCTTGCCCATCTTGGAGGGGGGAGACTAGGGAAATGCAAAGGTTAGTGTCTCAACCATGCAAGGAGCACGGTGCCATAGAGGGGCAGAGAGAAAGTTGAAGAGCGACTCTCACCTGCGTCTTGCTTTTGTTGAAAAGGGGGTTGCCGAACCTCGGGCTGTTTTCTGTTGATATAAAGTGCTTAGGGGATGTTCGGCAACGGGGAACAACAGGATGGATGAGAAAGTAAGTGGGGCTGACAGAACTGAGATGGCCTGAGTTGGGCCTCAGTACTGTGTTGATAGAAGAGCGTGTCTGGGAGATGATCAACAGCAGTGATAAGCAAGAGCGCTAAGAAGAAAGCTGAGATTGACAGGATCGAGATGACATGAGTTGAAGGAATGGTTATGAGTTGAAGGAGATAAGCGTATGACGCAGAGAAGATGGAAGTCGAAGAGAGATAGGTAAGACTGATGGGGTTAGATGGCACGAGACCAAGTTGCAGGAGTGATCAAGTAGAGGTGAAGATAGGTTGAAGAGGGAGAGAAGTGTGTTGTGAAAGAGATGCAGAGATGAGGAAGAGCAAGAGAATGAGCAAGGAGACTGCTTATATAGCTGGCGGACCATTCCCTTCATTGCGCATTCACTGTTTGACCCCTCAACCCAACATCCACCATCTTTCACATTTCACCTCAAGTCTTGCCAACAGTGTTATCATATTGATGATGCCAGGGTGTAAGAGTTTTTATAAGCCTTACAAGATGAACAACTTCTACAGCACAGCTTCGAAGACATCCTTACCCACAATCGTTTCATTCAAACCTCCTCAAACCTATATTTCTGATTTCGTATTTCCACCCTATGCTTATCATAACATCCAGACACTTAAACCCAGACTCTCCTCACATCTACCTCCTCCCTTCTTTTCCTCCTCCTCCTCTTCTTCCCTGCCCCCTCCCCCCTCACATAATCCCTCCTCACCCCCCGCAACCGGCTCGGATGCCACACCAGCAAAACCAGCATCACCAACGCCATCACCGCCCCATCAAACACATACAACCAGACCTCGCGCCGTTGAAGAACCCCATCCCTGCCCATCGCGAACTCGACCAGCCGAAACACCGACCTCCCCAGAACCAGCCCGTTGGTGAGGTACAGCACCCACAGAAACCCACTCCACGGCACCCGGGTCCTCCGCGCGCGTCGCGTGGGGTGGATACGCATGCGGCGATGAAACACCGCCGAGGCGAGGATGAAGGCCGCGAAGAAGACCACCTGGATGCCCAGGCCGGCGATAACGATCCAGTTGGCTGTTCGGGTGGTGGTTGGTGAATTGGACTTGGCCAGAAGGCCCCCGCCTACGAGTTTATGAGTGATCATGACAGAAAGAAGGGGGAAGGAGAGAGAGAAGGACCCACCTCCCGCCTGCGCCAGGAAAGCAAGGACATCGCCTACGACGAACACGCGGGTGATCCAGTGGGCCGGCAGGACGGAGCGAGTGTCCCCGTCGGTGAGGCGGATGATGCGCGCCAGGATCATGTAGATGGAGGCGGCGAAGAGGGAGGGGGCGACGAGCAGCAGCAGGGATTGCATGATATACGGGGCTGTGGTCCAGTCCGGGGTCTGGGTGCTGTTGATGATGCGGCCGATGTAGCCGGTTGTTTCGACTGGGTTGAGATCAGTGTGCTGAGCCGTGGGGTTACACATGGGGGAGGGAGGGGGTTTCAGCTACGTACAGATTCCTCCTATGATGAACGGGGTGAAGAACCAGGTGCGCTGGGCGCAGTAGTGGATGGCATGGCTGGTGGTGAGGAGGCCGAAGCAGACCGTCGCCGCAATGGCGGCGGGGAGAGAGGGGGCATACTGGTAGAGGAGGTAGGTCGGCATGCTTGAGATCACGTTGTGGGGATGTTGGCCACAGGCTTATATGCTTATATAGTGGATGTATCTGCTCGAATATAGAGTGTATCGTTGGAGGCTGGGATGTCGTATTCGGGTCTCGTACTCGTTTAGATGCCTGTTTGAGGCGCGATTGACTACCAAGCCCATCGCTAGTCTGCAGGCTTAGTCTGAGAGTAATGCAGGTCAATGAATCAAGCACGCTGTTTCACTTAGTCTAGATTAAGCAAGATTACTATCTCTCCGCCGCTCCCACCGTAAACACACCTTCTCCGGCTGGGGAATATGCAGCGTCAAACTCATTGTGCTCTGCTGCACCCGCGCATAAGCCCGTTCCCGTGCCTCCTCGACCGTCTCCCCGGGCTCAGCCACAATCTCGACTCTATGCCGTCGGAACAGCTGCAGCAGCACCGCCAGAACCTCAATCTGGGAGAACCGCTTGCCTGGACAGACTCTCGGCCCCTCGGACCAAGCGATGAGCTTCTGCTCCATCTCCGCGTCGTACACATCCTCTCCGGGCTGTCCGGTTGACGACCCAACCACCCACCGCGACGGCCTCCACTCCGCCGCATCACATCCCCAAGCCCCAGGATCCGTATGCAGCGCCACACTATTGACCCGGATGGAGGTATTCTCCGGAATGACGAACGGAGTCTCCGCCTTGACCATCTGGTCCTGCTCGCGCGTCTCGCGCAGCACATTCACAACAGGGCCAAATAGCCTCAGCGTCTCCATCTACCACAATCAGCCATCACCGCCACCAGACAAAAGAAAGGGGAAACCCACCAGAACAGCCCTCAGCCTCCTCAGCCCCTCCAACACCTCAAACCCCGGCTCCTCATCCCCTCCCACGCCCTTCAGCAAGAAATCCATCTCCTGCCCCACCCAGTCCTGCCACCCCGGAAAGATCGCCAGGAGATACACGGCATACAGCAACGTATTAGCGGTGGTCTCATGCCCGGCAAACAGAAACAAAAACACATTGCCCCGGATCTCGTCCGGGGACAGATAATCCCTGCTGCCGTTGCCGCTGCCAGCCCAGCCCTCGCACCGCAGCAACGTCGAGAGCAGATCCCCATGCCCCCTTTTCAGGGTCCCATCCAGACGGTGGCGACGGTACTCCACCAGCTGCGCGATACTCTCCCCGAGCTCGCGCGCCCCTGCCCACAGACCCCGCGAGCCCTGACTGCGGCGCCAGGGGAGGAGGCTCCACCCCGTCGGGGCGGTGAGGATGCCCAGGAAGCGGAGAAGGGCGGATTTGCACTCCTGCGGATTGAAGGTGGTGTCTGAGGGGGTGGTAGTGGGGAGGCAGACGTGTAGCAGCACGTCGAGGCTTGCGTCGGCGAGGTCGGGGAATGTGCTTGTGCTGGTGGCGGTGGTTGTACCGTTTTGGGTGGTGGCGACCAGCTGCGCCGCGCGGGCAAGAGAGACGGTCCAGACGGCCTGGTCAGTGGACGCGGTGAAGGCGCTGGCGGTGATGCGGCGGTGGCACTGCCAGGTTGTGTCTTCGACCTGCACCCATACACGTCTTGATTAGCAATCGGAACTCTCGCACGGGATACAGTGATGAGTGATGTGAGCGGAGCAGGGGGCGTACCGAAGCGAGATGCGGTCCGAACAGCTCTAACTTGTCTACATTCTCCTGGTCAGCCATTTCGTTTTCATGTGAGTAGGGGAGGAAGGGCAGTACCAAGCAGCCCTAACGGTTTGGGGAACGCCCTCCGCCGCACGAGGATCTGGTCTGCGACGGGGCGGTCCGCGGTGATGAACTCCCGGCCTCCGGGTGTCACTAGGAAGAAGGACCGGCCGTAGCGCGCGTGCAGGGCGAATTTGTCGCGGAAGTTCCAGGAGTGGTGGCTGAAGCGGTCGCGTTGGAAGAAGAGGGCTAGGCGGGAGTTGTGGTCCACGAGGGTGAAGAGACTCCGAAGTGGGTGGGGGAGGGAGGTCGCAACGATGAGGACTGGTAGTGGGCTGTCGCGGAGGGGGCGGTAGGTGGTGTAGATTCGGGCGAGGGTGTAGCTGGCTGAGAGCACGAGCGCGAGGCATAGGATGGTGAGGATAGACATGGTCGGACGGATGTCCTGAGGATACGGAGGGTTTTACATTTGGAATTTGGGAGAAGTAGGAAGTAGAAGTAGAAACAGAGATAAAGTAGAGTCGTGGGGGCGAAGTGGGAGGATCGAGCCGAGGTGTATCTTGTCTTGAAGGCGTTCACGGAGAATGGAGTATCCTGAACTGTACGGAGTACCTAGTAGTGATACTAGATTTATCAGTCGAAGATGGTAAGTAAGGTACAAGGAAAAAGCAAGAAAAGAAAGGGAGAAAGAAAGTAGGGCTCCACTTCGTATCCGTACTCATGCCCACTTGAAGCTTAGTCCTGCCCCACCCCCTTCCCTCCATCTCGGATGCGTATTCATTGCCTGTTCGGGTTCTTGTTCGGTGGATACAATTTGAATTTTATTGAATCTGTAACAGTGCTGTCTGTAGTCTAGTCAACTCCCTCAGACCCCCCCGGAAGAAAATCACAGAGCCGGCGTCACATCCTTGAATCGCAACCCATTCCCCACCGCCGCCACCCGCGACTTGCCCAGCAACCCATTGATCTCACTCGGGTGGACCACAATGAGAATACACAGCACTAAAAACATCGGCACCGCGTCGAAGACGTAGATAAACACCTCGTGCGTGATCACGTACCCCTGCTGGCCCTGGATGTACTCGATGAACCGCACGATCGACCGGATCAGGATCAGGAAGCTCATCGCGTACAGCGAGAAGAAGTGCTTGCGCCACGGGATCTGCGGCGACTCCGACCGCACCGTGGGGTGGCGGTAGATGCGCCGCTGGAAGATAACCGCCACCGTGATGAAGAAGCAGAAGAAGAGAATCTGCACGACGAGGCCCCCGATGATCACGTTCTCGCCCGTGTGGTCCGTCGCGGAGGCGGCCTTGACCATTAGACCGGCGCCTGTTGATTGTCAGGGTGACGGGAAGGGCTATACGGGCAGAGAGCTCCTACCGGAGGCTTGCATCAGGAAGGAGAGAATGTCGCCCACCACGAAGATCTTGGTCAGGAACTTCAGGCGGATGATGGAGTGGTGCTCGCCGCGGACCAGGAGGATAATGCGACCCA